TGAATCACTGCAGTTGTTTAAGTCAGTAACACAGTTGTTAAGTGAATCTGGCTTCCTCATTAACTTTGCTTTTCAGAAGTTTGCAAAGGGTGATCACATAACCCCGAGACACTGCAACCATCATAAATACAGTTGCCAGTTGCCAAGCATCCAAATTTTGATCATGTGACCTTGAGGTTGTAATGATTGTAAGTGTATTTCCTAAGACAACCAACACCATCATTCCTTATCCAAGCCTGAGTATTTCCTGCCCTATGCAGTTATACATACAGTACTGATACATGCCTAGATTTGTTGTTTGGCCACTTGAGAGTTGTGTTAAACTTATAGATAAGTTACGACATATATTTAAATGGTTTCTCATAGTTCCCAACTCATGTGATAGCTACACTGACACATATGAAGCTTGCTAAAACTTTACTTTTCTCTTGTTCTTAGATGTCACATGCTCATTCTTTTCCTTTATTGTAAAGCAGTGGTTCTCAACCTTTTTAATGCCGCGACCCCAACCGGTCGTAAGTTGAGGACTAAACCGGTCATAAGTCGAGGACTAAACCGGTCATAAGTCGAGGACTACCCAACCGGTTGTAAGTCAAGGACTTTCCCTGCCCGGAAGCGCCACGCATGCGTGGTTCCGCCCCCTGCGCCGGCCGAAGCGTAGCTGGCAAGTGGTAGAGACGGAGCAGGCCGACCACCAGCTGGCCCAGCCCAAGGGAGGTAAGGCACCCACCGGAAAAGGGGGAAAAAAATGGCGGACAAAAAAAATGTCGGACAGCCTTGCTTGGCAACCCCCGTGAAATGGTCGGTCGACCCCAAATGGGGTCCCGACCCACAGGTTGAGAACCACTGTTGCAAAGGATGTGTTCCCCTGATTTTGTCTATAGGACAGACCATGATGTGCTCAGGAATATTCCATTTGTGTGATTTGGTGTTCAGGGCAAGTAATGTTTTGTTTAATGTTGGCCTACCAATAGATCAGCAAGTCACAAATCATCAATGTAACCCGGAGAAAAATTGACTTTTGTCTTCCAGAACCTTGGCTGGATCATATGGATGCATTCAGAACACTGTTTTATTAATATAACATCAATTAATTTTTTTCTTCTCTGCTCTTGTAGTTTTGATGTCATCACTCTCAAGGTTTAGGTAACACAAGTGCTAATATAAGAATAAACACTGTCAGATCTAATACTGTATGAAATTTTGGCTCTCAGTGTTGTGATGTTTGGTCTTTTAGGACAGGGCTTTTCAATCTTTTCACCCATTGTACCACTTTTAGGATATGGCAATATCCAAGTATCACCAGTAGCTTAGCAAGGTGTCAAAAACTTGATGATCAAAAAAATAGAAAAGAAAAGAAAAGAAAAAAAATGAAGTACAGGTAATCCTTGACTTACAACAGTTCGCTTAGTGACTGTTCGAAGTTACAATGGCACTGAAAAAAGTGCCCCCCAAGCCACAGCCGAGCAAGACACCTGCCTGCCCATCCGGAGGCGCTATTCCTCCTGTCCGAAGTTTTCATTGTTGTGAGCATTTCTGTTGAGGATTGGCAGCGGGGGTGGGGGGGTGTTTGGTTTTTATTCCCCCCGTCTGCTGGGTGGTTGCGGCAGGTTTTGGTCACTTCACATGATCCTGGGACACTGTGACCATCATAAATATGAATCAGTTGCCAAGCATCTGAATGTAAATCACAAGACCCTGGAGATGCTGCAACATTCCAGCTGATCGGCACTTCTTCTGGGCTCAGCAGAAGCACCAGGATCAGTGCTGAGCTCCAGCTGGAGCCTGGCGCCGATCCTGGCACTTCCACTGAGCCCTGACAGTCCCGAAGAAGCGCTGATCCTGGCGCTTCCGCTGAGCCCTGACAGCCCTGCAGCTCCAGTCATCTCTCGCTCAGGCTTGTGCGGTGCTGCCATTGGTTCAGCTCATTCCCCTCCCCTGCTAACACTTTTCTAGGATGGTCGCGTACCACCTGCCAGGTGCCAAAGTACCACAGGTGGTACCCGTACCACTGGTTGAAAAGCCCTGTTTTAGGAGATAGATGGAATGCTGCATGGCTTGTCACATGTGACAAAAGCTTGTTAAATTATTCAGGGGAAACAACAAAAAGATGTTTGCATTACGCACTGTGTTTTATGTCTTGATCACAAGCCTGACACTTTCCTTACAATACAAAATACCAATAATTTTAAAGAATCCCTTTAAAATGACAAATTATAAATCACAATAAGTTGAGTGCATAATACTTAGACTCTATCCTGATATGGGTATCTCCTAAAAAGGAAATATGACATTATGATGTAACAATGATTATGAGCATAGATAATTCTAAAAGATGATGAGTCAGTCACAGAAGATAAAACATTAAAGGCTGTTTGTCATTTCATGAAATCTTCATGCTGAAGATTTAGCTATATAAAACATTTGGCTAAAGATGGTTATTGTCTTTAAGCCCTCTTAGAAATATTCCTAGAAGTATTTAGTTGACTATTAAGGAAAGTGGATTTTTTTTATCTGACTCAGCAACTTCTTGGACCAAATAAGATGACAAAAATGAATTCTAGCAATTCAAAGGAACTTCCTCACTTTGTGAAGACCAACATTCAGATAATCCTGGATTTATGACCAAAATTGGGACTGGAACTTTTATTGCTAAGCAGTAAAGTTAAGTGAGCCATTATGCAACTGTGCCTGATTTTATGAATATTTTTGCCACTGTTGTTAAGTGAATCCAGCTTCCCCATTGACTGATTGTTGTAAGCTGGTTAGGAAAGTCACAAATGGTGATTACATGATCCCAGGATGCTGCAATTATTGTAAACACATGCCAATTGCCAAGCACCCAAACTATGATCACATGATTATGGGGACACTGTGACAGTCATAAATGTAAGATAGGTCATTTTTTTTCAGCAGTATTGTAACTTTGAACATTGATAAACAAGTGATTGAAAATTGAGAATTGCCTCTACATTAAGTGACACTGAAAATGAGAATTAGTTTCATGGAGTAAATATTTTCCAATGTATCATTCTTGTAGTGAAAATCACACCCTATTCCGTGGGTCACATATAAAACTGCCAATAACCATAGTAATAGGTCCCCTGGGTACAACCCCAAAACAACTGAGCCACCACTTGAACACCATCAGAATTAATAAAATCACCATCAGAGATAGCTTTACTTGGAACGGCTTACATCCTGTGATGATATTTTTAATAACATCTGCCTATTCCAGGTCCTTGGGAAGGATTTGATAAGTGCATAAAAATGCCAAAAGTAGTCTAAACATCTGGCTGACTGTGTAACAAACCATCATAATAAAGATAGGTGAATTCTTACATGCATATATATGTGCTTGGATACTTAGGAAATACCAATTTCGAGGCAATTACACTATGGACTGCAAAAAGAATGACTCATCAATCTGAATGTAGACCAGGGGTGTCAAACTGCCGGCCTGCGGGCCAGTTTCATCATACCGAAGCCGCGCCCACCCCATTGCCAGCAATGCAAAAAGAGTTGCGATACGTCGCGACACGTCACGTGACATGGTGAGTTTGACACCTGTGATGTAGACCATGTAGTCACCAGGAATTGAACCTGATTTCATGTCACCATCTAATTACTGCATAATGTTTTCAATAACTGTGCATTGTAAAACTGAACAACCAAAATCCATATTGGTCCAAATGGAATGAGATACTAAAATTGTCATTGAACTAGGTTAATGAAAATCTAGAAGAAATCCAGGACAAAAGAAGTACACAGAGAGTTCATGAAGCTTAGAAGAACTGGAGTATATATGAATAATGGTGATTGCCAGCTTATAATATCAAACATATATTAGCTTCTTGTCTCCTTGTCCATCTCTCAATTTACCCAGAAATTTGGATTGGTGCTCTAATTCTATTGTTCCATATGTTGATGATGCTTTTACCCTCAAGCCATTCACTTAATGAACTGATGTCCTCATTTCCAACTGTCCCAGCCTGTGTCTGTTCTCAAATTTGTTGATCAGCAAATAATAAAACAAAATAAAAATGGAAATGATGCAATAACACATAGAACAAAATAAAATAACAAAAAGAATGTCATAGCTAGTGAATGGGATCAGAATGAACTGCAGGAAGCAATTCAGAGGAAAATCAGTTGGAGCTGGCTATGAAAAGTCAAATTAAATAATAAATGAATAGCCAAAATGGTACAGTTATGATGGTACAGTTATTTTTGGTACAGTTATTTTTGGTACAGTTATTTTTAGTAGCCCTTCCATTCCTTTACATCAGTGGTTCTCAACCTGTGGGTCGGGACCCCATTTGGGGTCGATCGACCATTTCATGGGGGTCGACAAGCAAGGCTGTCCGCCATTTTTTCCCCCTTTTCCGGCGGGCGCCTTACCTCCCTTGGGCTGGGCCAGCTGGTGGTCGGCCTGCTCCGTCTCTGCCGCTTGCCAGCTACGCCTCGGCCGGCGCAGGGGGCGGAACCATGCATGCGCGGCGCTTCCGGGCAGGGAAAGTCCTCGACTTACGACCGGTTGGGCAGTCCTCGACTTACGACCGGTTTAGTCCTCGACTTACGACCAGTTTAGTCCTTGACTTACGACCGGTTGGGGTCGCGGCATTAAAAAGGTTGAGAACCACTGCTTTACATAAATACGGTGTTACGGTATATACTGTGACTGATTTCATGGCAACTAAAGCAGAATTTAAACCTTTTCATAATTATCAGAATAATGGTCAAAAGCATTGGGTGAGGACAAGTGCTGAAAAGTCATTTACATTAAATATTCAAAACTAGTTTGAAATTGTGTAAATGTCATAAGTTGGAGTACACAGACCATTCAGTCTGAATATTGACTAAATGTGGGCATGCTTGTCCTCATTTGTATGATGTCAGTTACAAAGACCACCAGCAGTAAATGAATTTCTTTTCAATTCTCAATTCCTTTCACTGAATATATGAACAGTTATAATTATTCTGAAAATAGAATATTGTACCTTGTGTTGCCTCCTTTGCCTTCTTCGAAGCCTCAAAAACTCTTTATGCTGCCTTGACACAAAGTTCACTGCTGCGTATTCAAGCAATGCAGCGAAGACAAAGAGAAGACATACAGCCATCCAGATGTCAATAGCTTTTACATAAGAGACCTGCAAGACAAGGAAGCAAGAAATAAAATCATCAGATGTGGAGGAAATGACAGATGTGCTGGCAATATGTACAGAGATGTAGGTTGTACACAGAATAATTGTTCTTAGTATCTACAAGGGCCCCTCTGAATAATTTTATATTTTATTATTGCTTTTGAAAGCAAGAATTTAATGGTATTCGTCAGAGAAGCACGAAACATTCACATTTCAAACATCTACATTGTTTGTTATGTTTTGCCATTCTTAGATGCTCATTTGTTCCATTTCTCTGGGTATCAGTTTTAGGAATACATTTAGTCCTTGACTAGAATACATTTAATCCTTGATCGCAACTGAGCCCAAAATTTCTGTTGCTAAGTGAGGCATTTGTTAAGTGAATTTTGCCGCATTTTATGACCTTTCTTGCCACAGTTGTTAAGTGAATCACTGCAGTTATTAAGTTAGTAACATGTTTGTTGTGAATCTTGACTTTGCTTGACAGACGGTTACAAAAGGTGATCACATGACCCTGGGACACTGCAACAGTCATAAAAATAGTCTGATGCCAAGCATCCAAATTTTGATAATGTGACCATGGAGATGCTGCAATGGTTGTAAGTGTGAGAAACAGTCATAAGTCACTTTTTTCAGTGCCATTGTAAGTTTGAACAGTCACTAAATGAACTATTGTAAATTGAGGATTACCTGTACAGGAAACAATTTCAAGATTTTGATCCCCCTATTTGGAAATATGAGATATTGAGCCTGAGAACCTCTTCATGCTAATCATGTGCCCTATGTTGATTTATGGGCCTTTTTCATCCTGGCTGGCTTGACTGAAACTATTCAAATAGTTTATCAACAAAATATCAAAGAGATAAAATAAAACAACTCATGCTCACCCCCCTTTGTGGCTGCATACAGTGGGGCTGCCATCAAAGCATAATTTGGAATCCATATCCGACAAAAGCCAGCCAAACCTAAAAACCCTCGTAACTGTCTCCGATTCATGGGCTCAGCTATAGCCAATACTGCTTGTTTTCTTTCCCACCCCAGGGCTCTATGTCCATGCTCAATGTCATACCCTAGATAGCGCACTTTCTGTTTTACTAACTGAGCCTTCTTTCTAGACACCCTATAGCCACATTTCAGCAATAATCCCAACAAAGATGCCGTATTTTCCCAACAAGTATCTTCTGTCTGACCTGTCACCAACACATCATCCACATATTGCAAAAGGGTGTCCCCCCTTTGCTGAGGCACAAAATGCTGCAAATCTTTCCCTAAAGCCGTACCAAACAGAGTGGGTGAATTCTTAAATCCCTGTGGCAACCTTGTCCAAGTATACTGTGATTTCAATCCAGTCCTAGGGTTCTCTCATTCAAAGGCGAACAAGGGTTGGCTCGCTTCATGTACGGAGATTGTAAAAAACGCGTCCTTCAGATCTATCACCGAAAACCAAGCTGCTTTAGGTGGAATCAGGCTTAATAAAGTATACGGATTTGGCACAACTGGGTGAATAGTCACTGTCACGGAATTGATGACACGGAGATCCTGCACCGGGCGGTAGGACCCGTCCGGCTTTCTAATGGGCAATATAGGTGACTGGATAGGCACCAAAATCCCAGCTTCTAGATATCTCTGAATACTCTCATAAATGGCAACTATAGCATCATTGGAACATGACCGCTGGCGAATATGCACAGGTGTGGCCAATGGTTTCATTTCCACAATCACCGGTGGGTGGTGAGCGGCAAAGCCGGGGGGGGGGGGTTATCTTCTGCCCATAGCCCTGGTACCCCAAATTCCTTCCATTTCTCCTCCTGCAATTCATCCTTTACTGATCTCACAACCATTAACCTCCACATCATCTCAGGCTGATGTTTCACTTGGATCCTTTGCTGGCCCTCATCAAAAGAAATAGTTGCCCCTAGCTTGCTGAGCAGATCCCTGCCTAGCAAAGGTATCGGGCACTCGGGCATGTATAAAAATTCATGCTGAATTTCTGAACCTTTAAACACACATGTTACGGGCTGAAGTACTTGGCGTCCCAACACTTGTCCTGTCACACCTTGAACCTGTATACAGTGGGGACCTGGTGTAGCAACCTGGCTATTCACCACTGACCTCCCTGCTCCAGTATCCACCAGAAAAGTTGTCTGCCGACCCCCTACATTCATAGTAACCAAAGGCTCAGGGGGGGTCTCCTCTAAGCCCGAGCCTGGTCCTCGTCAATCTGTCCATCCAGTCCCTGCCAGTCCAATCCCCTCTACTTCTCTTCTTTCATCAAAACCTCCTCTACCCCCTCTATTTCCTCTCAATCTTCTGCCTCCAAAGGGGGACCTCAAAGGTGCTCCACGCCCGAAGCCACCATGGCCCCCTCCTAACCTACCTCGCCACCCCTGTCCTCTTATCACTTTCTTTGGACACTCTCTCTGCCAATGACCTTCTTCTCTACAATTAGCACACTGATTCGGTCCTAATAGCATCCCTCCTTGCAGAGCTACCGCCAACAATTCTGTCTTTTTATGCATCCTTGCCTCTTTTTCCTTCTTCTCTACTTTGTCCCTATTGACAAACACTTTCCTCGCAACTTCCAACAATTCGGAGGTATTCTTCCCTAAAGCTCCCTCAAGCCTTTGCAATTTCCGTCTAATATCCTCATAACTCTGTGCTATAAAACGCTCATTCAACATCCGCACATGATTCTCATGCCTGGGGTCTATCTGAGTATACAATTCATAAGCCTCTATCAGCCTTTGTAAAAAACTCTCCGGACTTTCCTCTGCTCCCTGAATCACTAAAGATGGCTTAGACATATTTACTGGAGGCTTTCCTGCTTTACGCAATGCTTCCACTATCAGATTCTGATATTCTTTCAACGATGTCATCTGGGAGTCATCACGAACATTCCACCCTGGATCAGTCTCTGGGGCTTTAGCCAAAACAACTGCCTGCAAATCCCGAGCAGCCGGATTCCTATCTCTCACACACGTTCTAACAGCTGCTTTCCACTTTTCCTTTTCCTCAGGAGTTAGCAAGGTATTCAATAACTGCTGGACATCCTGCCACGTTGGGTTATGAGTTTGCATAATGGTCTGAAATAAATCTGCCATTTCTGTTGGCTTGGTAGTTAAAGGACCATAATGCTGCTTCCAATTTAACAAATCAGTGGTGGTAAATGGAACGTACTGAAAAATGGATTTGATCTGTGCGGCTCCCTGCTGATCCAATACGTGCTGATCCATCTGCCTTAACGGAGCAATTAACTCCCCTCCCCTAGCTTTAGATCTTGTTATCACCCCCGTTGTTACTTCTGCTGCAGCCTCCTCACCTCCCCCTTCACACAGCTCTGCAGTTTCCTCTCCGGGGAGGTCTCTCTCCCTCCCTGTCTCCTCCTTGGGAGCTGTCGGCTCTCCCTTCCCTTTCTTCCTTCTCACCACTGGATGCACGCTGTCTGACACAGCCGCAGCCTCCGCCACAGGCTGGGGCATTGGGAGTGCTGCCACAGGCTGAAGCAGGGGAGGCGGCTGTGGCACATACGGAGGGGGTCGAAGCACCACTTCCTCTTCTTCTACCAGAACCTCTTTCTTCAAATCTGACAGTTTTGTTTCTGAAATCCTCACATCCTTATATCTTTTTGCTACCACTTTCAACTTCTTTCCTTTTGGTCTAGCTACACACACACGCACCATTTCTGCCTGGCATTGCAACAGATCATCCGCCCTTTCTGCTACTGCATCCCCCCACTGATCTATGTACTGAAATTGGTTAGGATAATTCTCTTCATTAGCTGCTATCAGGGAAGTTAAATCATCAATAGTCTGCGTATTGAATGTTCCCTCAGGGGGCCAGCCCACATCTAAATGAGGCCACCAATCTTCACACAGGAAACGCAGCCTATCCTTGGAAACTGGGGGGTATGGCACTTTATATTTGGTGTGATTAAAATATTGATCAAAACCTTTTAACATACATTGAAGTGGTGTGCTAGGTACACTACTTTTCCCTCCCATTCTGGTAATAACACTGCCAATGCCACTGACCTACGGTGCTGGAAGATCGACAGTCACCTATAGGAACTGCAGCAGCAGCTGGCTTAACCTCCCTCACACATACCCTAACACAGACTTCTTTAGGAACGACGTCCCGAGTCCAGGGGGGCGATCAATCCCCCTCTTCTATCTTCAAGTGAGATAGGTACTCCCCAGATTAATACATACTCGCCTGAGGCGTCTTCACACACACGTCCTGGCCAGGAGTTAGTTCAGACCTCCTTTCCTTCCCCCAAGGGTTCTTGGACTGGCTGTCAGCTCCGTCGGCTCCGCAGAGAAGTCACTTCTGTCTCCCGGAGGGAATTCCCCCGTGGCGCCTGGAGAATGTTTCAGGAGTGGCTTCCCGTCGGGTCCGAGGGGTCAAGCCGCCCTCAGCGAAACATCGCCTCGCTCAAAAGCCCCATCTGCGGGTGCCAGGAAACTGTTGTGGAATAAAGGACTTGAGCCAGCTCTTTGAAGAAGGAAAGTTTATTTGCGCAGGTTCAGAGGGCCTTACAAAGCAAAAAGATCTGAACCCCGAGGGGTGTTCAGAGAGCATATATATAGTTCATACAACGTATGCATTTCCTGACCCCTCTGGATCCCATATAAGGTAATATGTTAAACATTGTGATCTCAGCATTCCTAATAGTATGGAAAAATACCAGACAGCTGAACCTTGACACATAGATAAAAATAGGGAATTGGCTACTAAGCAAAGCAAAAACAGGATATGGCTTAACCAGTCAAGGACAGTGGGAGAGAGCATTATCTCTAGACTCAGCAATTTTTGGAATGCTCCCTGACTCACCACCTCACTCTAGTGAATTCAAGGAGATCAGGTAGCTATCAAGATGCTAAATTTACAAAGATGTTCCTTACTTTTCAATATACAATGTTACAAGAATGAGGGATTATTGGAGAAAGTTTCATACTTTTTGGTGTTTCTCTCCCCTGCTGCAAGGTAGGACAGAGTAGTGGGGGGGA